CTCTAGAGGTGGCTCAGAACCATACCCAAGTGTATGATATGTTCCAGCGTTGTTGTGTCCTCAGAGGAAGCCTTATAAAGCCCAGTGGCTCATCAGGGAGATTACCACCAGCTGCTGCCTGTTAGCTGCCAGACCAATCAGGAGTGTGACTGTGAGATCCTCACATATATAAAGTAAAGAGGATTGGTCCAAGCACTGAATCCTGAGGAACTCCATAACTAAATTTAGTGTAAGAAGAGGATTCATTATTAACATTAACAAACTGAAATCTATCAGTTAAATAAGACTCAAACCATTTTAGAGCTGTTCCTGTAATCCCAATATCAAGTTCAAGTCTACGTAATAAAATGTTGTGATCAGTTGTATCAAATGCAGCGCTGAGATCTAACAGGACAAGAATGGACACAAGTCCACTGTCTGAGGCCATGAGAATATCATTAGCAACTTTCACCAGTGCTGTTTCTGTGCTATGATAAGCTCTAAACCCTGACTGAAACTCCTCAAATAGATTTCTGTCAAGATGTTTGCAACTATTTTCACAAATTTTTTGAGATGAATGGGAGATAAGATATTGGTCTATGTTTGGCCCGAACTCCTGAATCAAGATCAGGTTTCTTTAGGTTTAATTACGGCAACCTTAAAGCTCTGTGGCACATAACCATTCATTAGAGACAAATGAAGCAGATCCAGAAAATATGTGTTTGATGTTTGAAATGCCTCTTTGAACAGTCTGGTTTATGTCTGACTGGCTTTTATAAACTCAAAAAAGCTAAACTTTGGAAATTCTCTCTATTGTTGTTCTTGCGTTCCTCTTGTTGGCCAACAAGATCTGTATCTTCTTCCACATCAATGCTCGACACACAGCTTTCATGTCTTTCCTGCTCAGCTCGTGGTGAATATCAGATTACTTGTAGGCAGGTGTAACCGTTGTTACAGCCTATTAACTGTTCTTTCTTGGAGTGAACAAATGATCTATCGTTAGACACAAACTACAGACACACAGGAAAGATAATAAGACTGTCACAATTTGAACCTGTTTTTACCTTGCTTCATCACGTGTGGTGCAGCTCATCAGCCACATCATAATCCCTTGTGATCTTGTACATATGCACACATGCACACCAGTATTCTCCACTTGTTGCTTGATGAAATGCAGCTCTGCCTCAGTGCTCCAGTGGGTATTCCTCAAGTTCATGTCAAAGACAAATTTGTTTATGAACAAGTTTCTTCCTCCATGTTTTTGTCATCTGCCTTGTTTGAGTCAAACCAGCCTCGTCTCTTTATGTCCATGAAAGAGAAGGTAAAACCTGGTAAATAATTGTGCTTATTGTGTAATAGAATGGGTTGCTTTAAGGATTTTTGAATCAAGAATTTGTTGAGAGCAAGGAGCAGTTTAAGGAGGGGTAAGCCAAGCAAAGAATGTTGTTTTCAGGCAAAACTAATATGCGCATGAGACAGTGAAAACAGAAAGTTTATTATTTGTCAGTTAAAATAGATGGTCGCAGACATTTAAGTGGTGGTAAAATTGTCACCCACTACCTGTTACCAAGAAGGATGAGTAAAGCTGCTCGAGTAGTTCTTGGAACTTGGAGTTCCCTGGAGATGCAGAAGCTGTCTGTATTCCCCTCAGAGCAACCTCCTAGCTCTTAATGCATTTAGAGCTAGGAGGATTCGCAGTCCTTCTACCTCAATCCAGTCTAGTTGTTTATTATATCATCCATGCAATGTGGGGGTCATATTGTTTTTGTACTTTTTTATTTATTTTTGATTGTTTATTTTTTTTTTAATTTTCAGAGGTTAATTGGTCGACACATGGCACAGAACAGCCCATCTGCATGTTCATTAACCGCACCCAAAACAGCTTCTACTCAAAACCATAGATATATACTGTATATAAAGGTCATAAGTCATACCCGCTGTTGGCCAATGGAGACAGACGTCCTCACATGGCAGCCACCTTGGGTCGGGGAGTTTGCCCGCTCTTAATATGAATGTATGGTGTTTTTTATATTTAAATAACCATAACTTGGTCAATTTTGATCGGATTTTCAAATGGATTTTTTTGTTGTTAAAGTGAGACATGTTGTTATAAAATAAAGTACTTATAATGGGCATTAATTTAATAATTGCATTATTTTGATAGGTAAAGCAATGTCAATATATACACATGATACATCTAGGTTACTTTTACAAGAATTTACAAATAAAAATACAAAGCAAAATTTTACGCTGAAGTTGAGATTTGTGCTCTTCTTTCTTTAGTATTATGGATTTTATATAGGGCTTGAAACTGAAACTGTCAGATCTGGCAACCCTTACTGACAGATGGATTTGTGTAGCTCTAGGGGTCACCTCGAGTGAAGAAACAAGATTTACTGCCTCGAGGCTGGCCTCAGACAGGCCTGACGAGAGGACAGGAACTCTGTCACAAACTGAACTCTGTTTAGGCCATGACAGGTCATTCTAACCGTGGAAGAGAACCCCTCAGTTCTCTTAATCAGATAATGGACAGAACAATCTCTTCTGTTCGTGATTCATTTGGGAAAACACTTGTTCGCCAATGACCGGTAAGCGAGCCAACATCAGTTCCCTGACTGATCGGAGGCGAGCCAGCTCCTACCCAGAGGGTGCCTTAAGAAGTCATCATCAGGTAAAAGCTGATGTGTTCGGAGTGACGTGTCATGTGGAACCTGAGCTTAGAAAAGATGTGCAGTTCCGGTTGAACCACACTTTGATAAAAGTAAAAGTCGTAGTAACATACTAATCTTACTTTCCTCCTTTAAGCTAAAAGTGCCAGTAAAATTGTTTGGTTGTTA